AGTTGCCGTTCTTAGTTTTTGAAAACAGTGGAACTGGAAGATCGTCCTGGTTTGTACAGTTCTGCTTTGAGTTGAGTCATGTGCCTGTTCCTGTCCTGCTTCCATGCCATCACACTTAAAATCTGGGATAGGAAGAAACTAGCCAGGAAAGGAACAAGTGTATCTGTTAGGTTTTTTTTTGTTGAATAAGATAAGAAGTCAGCAAGAGTTTTGCTTAGCTAAAATAAATAAATAAAAAAGGAAGCAGAGAGAGAAAGCAAAAAAAAAAAAAAAAAAAAATTGTTTTCTAGCTTAGGAGTCCTAGGAATGTGAAGTCCTTGGTTTTGCTGGTAGGTCGCTGGAGATATGAATTTGCAGCTTTTTCAGTCCTTAATTGGAGAGGTAGGAACACTGAATCACTTATGAGACAGCCATCCTCCTAAGTGTCAGGCATTACTGTTGAATACATGCAATCAAAAATGAATGCTGTTAGTGTTGTCAACAGGATGAAGTCACTTTGTGCTTTGCTTGTATTTTGTCTTCTCAGCAGAAGAATATCCAGTCTCAGGTCATTGGTAGAATTCTCCTAGTTGGTCAATCTCAATAAAATCAGAATTTCAAATGCAATTAAAAAAGGAAGGAGACAGGGAACTCCATAGTGCTTTTTGAATCACTTCCACCCATGTGTGGTAACGAGTCAATACCGTGAACATACTTGCAAGGTGTGTGTGTGTTGGGGTAAGCTTGTGCAACACAGCACAAAGCTGGTTTTTTTCTTTCACACAGTCCTTTTAAAACATGTTGGATGCTGGAAGCTTTTGTCTTTCTATATCTTGTAAATGAGGCAGTATCAAGGTGTGATGATACTTGCAGTAGAGACCTGTGATAAAGACCCAAATGTCTCAGGAGCTAGTATTAGTGGTGGAAGAGGAGGATGATCTTACTTGTTGGTCACTCTGGAGACAATAGCCAGTGTGGTATTTTAATTTCTAAGGTACTCAAACATAAACTCTGGTTATTGTGTCCATAACAGTGGAACAAGTGCTTCTGTGTTACTCCATTCACTACTTGGGTATCCTAATCACATCACATCCCACCAGCAGGAGAGCAATTGTCACATCTGGACACTATTCCACAGGAACCTGAGTGCTTAACCACAAAAATTAGTGATACAGAGGGGCTGCAGTTTTCCCTTATGCTCAGGTACTTGTCACAGCTCAGCAGATGATCTGAGCCAGTCTGCCATGGCCTGAGGAAAGCACTTTCAGATCTTTTACCTTAGGATTGGTGAAAAGATCCATAGTAAACAGGGATTTTCCCTACAGTGTTATTGTTTGAAGTAAGCAATAGCTTCCGTCCCAGAGATTAGAGCTCCCCTGGGGCTTTCCCCAGGTCTGTGCTCTCCTCTGCTTTCCCAGCAGCTTCTAACCTGGGTAATCACCTTCCAGCTCTCTAAATTCCCCATGCTGATGTGCTTCTATGGATCACTTTCCTTTTTGTTTTCTGTTGCTGCAACAGCCACCTTGCTATGCCACAGTGCAGGAGGGCAAATCTTGAATGCCCAAAGTACTGTGAAGATCACGAAGAACAAAATATTCCTGGGATGTATATTGGCCTACCATTATTATCATCTAGTTCCTTGAAAGAGTTTCTAGTCAGCTTACGAGCAAGACAGACTGTGATATCCCACTGATGAGCATGTTCTTCTTCTTCTGAGGAGAGATATTTAAATAATGTACATGCTGCCTGTTTAAAAGAGGCAGGTCCAAAGGTTCTGTTCAAAACTTGCTTCAGAGGTGTGCTGCCATATAGCTCAATGCTCCATAGCAAACTAAGCTTTATTCCTTGCATGAAAATGCAAACAACCGAAAGTCACCTGCTTTTTGCCCTTTTCATGCTGCATTTGCCCTAGTTTGTTGCTGTCAAGTGCTTGCAAGATGTGGCGCTGATGCTACCTAGTTTTCTAGTTACGTCTTGGGGCTGGCTTTCTCTTTGGTGGGTGAGATGGATGGATGGATGGGTGGGTGCTTGATGGTCTGCAGTTTGGTATCTCGGTTAGTAGGCATTGGTTTATACCTGCTTTGAGAGCATAAGCAAAGGAGCTGTGGGCATTGTTTCACCGATATCACAGAAGGTGATTTGGAGGGGTTTGTTTTTGCCGTCTCAGGATGGGTGGTTCAGCCCATTTTTTCATTTGTCTTCATTACATAGTTCTGTATGCTAATTTAGGAGGGGAGAAGGACAGTAATGGTGGGCGCCGGGAGGTTTGTGTCTTGGAAGAGTTTGAAAATAAGAATTATTCCTGTGATAATAATGGTGCTCTCTTTCCTTCTCTCTTTCTTCCCCCCCACCCTTTTCCTCCCTTCTCCACTGTTTTCCTTCTGCAGCCTCTGGAAACGTCTGGAGTTCTCCCCACCCTCTCTGCAAAGGACGAGCCCCTCTAGCTCCCACTCAGACCCCCGAACTCTAGGGAACAACAGGCTGTTTTGATGCCGAAGCCCCTCCAAGGGAGCGTACGCTCACACAGGTTTCTGGCCAAAGAGACACTCTTTAGCAAGCACTGAGATGTCTGCCTGCAGACATCTACACTCGGGAGCACGTGAAGCACACGCGTGAGACTGCAGTGTGGCACTCCAGCACCTCCCACCCCACAGTTGTTCACCAGAGCTGCCTGTCCTAGTGGACTTTCCCAGTTTGTTTTCTAGTCCTGCCTCTCTGAGTTGTATAGGCAGCTCTGATAGCAAGGCACACCGATATCACTGCAAGTGATACCAGCCTGCTCGCAGAATCTGTGTTCCCTTTGATTTAATAATTCCCATTAAAGTCAGAGACAAAACGACTGGTGTTTGAGGATTTGGAGATGGAGATCACGCTGTCTGAAAGACTTGAGGGTGATCTAAAGGCGCGAGGGGAAAGGACAGGGGAAAATTGGCTCCCTGACAGCTTTGGTAATGGGCTTGTAATGGAGAGCATGATATGGAAATTTGATATCATGCATCTCACTGGGCATCCACTCTAAGTAAGACCAGAAATTACTTTTCCAGGAGTTATGATTTCTCATTTATGACAAGCACCACTTCTCAAAGAAGTTACCAACTTCTGGTGAAAGGTTGGTTGTTTGAGTTGATTCATTTGGAATAAGAAAGGGAAGGAATTGGGATTAGGGGCAGGCATAGGCAAGGAGAGCCTGAACACTTTTTTTTTTTTTTTTTTTTTTTGGTGCTTAATGGGAGATGACCTCAGGGTGCACACACCAAGTGAAGAAATGAGTGAGTACAAAACATCTCTGGGGAGAGCAGCCACAGGTAGGAAGAAGCACAATATCTTAAAGTATTGTGGAGATAGAAGGCCTCTTCCAAGTTCAGCTGCAACAGGCTTTGGTTGATGAGCTTCCCCAGCTAATTCCTCTGTCAGGAAACTGGAGATTGCAGTACCAGTGGAAGAATCCTCTATCCCACAGAGCCTTGGGCAACCAAGTTGGGAGGTGAAGGTAGGAGCCTCTCCAGGGCAGGTATCCAGGGAAGGAGCAAGGAGCATCGGTCCTTCCATCAGCATGCACAGAGCAGGGCATTCTTCACTGCCTCTTGGCACAGACGCACAAGGGCATGGCCATCAGCCCTGGGGTGGTGGAGGCCTTGTGTTGCTGTGGCCAAGAGACCGGTTTGGCATGTCTTGCAAGTCTCAACTGGTTGAGGTCTGTGTCCTTGGGATCTGGCACTCTTGCTGAGGTCTGGAGAGGCCTCTGAAGTGGTGGCTCTGTGGGATCCATGGAGTACACCACTCCTTGTGCTGCTCGCCTTTCCTGTTACCCCAGGGCAGGAGAATGGGGCTGCCCCAGGCCTGGGGAGCATCCTGCTAATGGTTGTCACCATGCTCTGCTGCTGCATTCTTGCTTCAGCCTGATCTCATTGCCCTTCACAGCTAGGAAATGTCTCCAGCAAATTTAACAAGAGCTGCTGGGGTCCCTTCTGCAAAGGAATTGAAATGCACAATGAAACTGCGTCTGTTGTGGTGCTTTATACACCTCCCTGAAGTAGTGGACTGGGTTGGGCTGAATTACACACCACACTTCATAGATGCCATCTGGGGTTATATTCCAGTCTCCAACAGGAAGCTCCCTGGAAGCTCGTCAGTCGTGGCACCACTGATCTCTGTCAGGTTGTTAGAGCCCAGCTCCTGAGTGTATGCTGGAGATGGTGTTCGTTAGCTGGCCTTCCAAACAGCCACATGGCAGGGTCCAACAGTTTGGATGTGAGCTGACAGCAGGAGCTAACTCTGCAGTGACACTGTCTAGTGGAGCAGTAGTGATAGCTCGTGCAAAATGACTGAGGCTTCCTCATGGCAAAAATGCCTTTAGCATGTACCTCTCACCTGACCATGATGTTCCTGATGTAGTTCACCATCCAGTGAAGACAGTCCAGGGAACCAGAGGAAATGGTCTACAGAAGATGTGGTTTGTGGGCAGAAGTGACGTAAGACTTTCTCCTCTTTAATTTGCATACACATCAAGGTGTTGGGAAAGGTGTGGATGGGTGAGGGCTGTTTCTAAGTACTTGTCTCTCATATTGTAATCTTTCAGCAATTCTTTCCAAATCTCAGCTGCTTTTCCAGGTCTGAAAGGTTGTGTTGAAGTTCCCAGGACTAATTTGTGTTAGGTGACCCTGTGACATTGATGCTTCATTTTCCTTCCTATTACCTTCTATTCTGGGCAGTTGTTCAAAGCAGTGCAAAATGGGATGCAAGAGCACTGCTGTGCTTCTGGTGTCTGTCTCGCTTCACGTGAGCTTCAAAGAGGACAAGGCAACAGCCAGAAGAGCTGCTCCAGGCCTGTCACAGGAAAGACATTAATTCTGATTACCTAGCAGCGCTAACGTGAAAATCAATAGGGTCTCACTCTGAAAGTGTCTTGTAGATGGAATTAGTGAGTTTCCCATTGGAGCGCTGGCTAAGAATGACCCCTTCCCGTGCCAAACCTGAATCACACTGTTTCTCCTTGCTGAGGAAAAATAATACCTCTCACCTTTAATATGATGATCTTGGGACACTTTAATATAAAACACAAATGAATCATCCCAACATTCCCGTTGTAGGAAGAGTCTCCTCCTCTTTTCATGCAGATCCAAACCTTGAAATTAAATGACTTGCCCACCTCGTTCTCAGAGCTGGGTACAGAACCCCGTGAGATAAAAGTCCCAATCCAGTCCTTTTAACTAAGATGTCTTCCTGTAAGCAGTCAACCTTGTACTCACCGATCTGCCACACGCTTCTTTTCCTTCACATCCTGTCCCTCATGCAGGAAATAAATAACCCATCGAGTTTTATGGTGAAAGTATCATCTGTGAGCAGAGAGCAGTGATAGGTTTAGGACTCCTTTAGGGTGTTGGGTATGCTTGCATGCTCTGAAGGCAGTGCTAGGCACAAGCAGTGGGCAGCTCGAAGGAGACGTCTGCGTTGCTAGGGAGGGTGAGGTTCCAGGGCAGGCATGACATTGTCCTGCTGTGGAAGAAGCACAGGAAAGTCAGGCTGTGCATTGGCAGGCAGAGGTTACTATACTAACACAGAGGCAAGCAAGCTGCAGATGGACCTTGTGCTGCTTTGCAAGGGTATGATGAACAGGGTGCTGTGCCCTGGCTGGGATGAATTGGGTGGAGGAGTGCATATGGGGTTGTGTCCTTCACCTTTCCTCCTCCCCCTCCTAGCAGTACCATTGCTACTCTGAGCGCTCCCAGTTCAGTGGTAAGAACATTGCAAACCTGTGGAATTCTACAGCTTTCCACCAGCATCACAGCCAGGTCCAGTGCTCCCAGGGGTGCAGGCTAGTACACCTTTAAGGCAATGTGTCATGTTGTCCCATTCATAAGTGATAAAAAGCCAGGTATCTGCACATCCATCCCAACTTTGCTCTGCAAAGCATGCTAGTAAGGAATAGTACTTATGCTGAAGGGAGTGCCTGGTATTTACACAGAAATGCCTCTTTATTTCCCTATCTGAGCCTGCTGGCTGTGTTTTTACTGCCTTGTGCTCGAGTCCCCTTACTGCCCATCAGAACAGAATTTGAATGTGAGCCCACTCTGCCTTCTGCTTCTGCTTTTCTCTCTTTGGAGTACCTGCTAGCTTGCTTCAGCCTGGAGCCAGCATTGAGAATCAACTCAAAAGCAATGTGGACAGAGTTTAATGTTGGTATAGACCGAGCTATTTTGCCCTGCCTGCAAGAACTTTGGATCTGCAAAACTCCTGGCAAGAACACTGTATTATGGAGAAGACCATTGTCTGTTTTGGGATGAGAAGGACTTGGCTGCTTCTACTCTGGATAAGGTAATTATGGCTGAAGGCATGTATGCTACAATGCCTGGCCCAGAAAATGCCATAATGGTTGTCTTTAGCCTTAGTGCTTTATAAACCTGTGCAGTATAAGAAGCAGAAATGTATTACTGGTCTTCTGTTGTCTCATCCTGAAAAATGTGCATCTGTCATGTTTCAAACGGGGACTCAGGTAGGCAGGGGGAAGATGGAGAGATCAAACAAGGGCAAAAGGAACACATTCTAGTTAATATGGGGACCCAGTGTAGGCAGGGGGAAGACGGAGAGATCAAGCAAGGGCAAAAGGAACACATTCTAGTTAATACAAGCTTTTGCCATGGTTTTTGACTTAAGCATCTCCAAGGTGATGTGAGTCACAGCCATTTTCCTTCCATGGCACAACACTTTTATCCTGGGGGAAGAATCCCAGAAAAATTCTAGAAAACTACCTTGGAAGTTTTTCTCTCTCACAGGTAGAAAATGTTTTACATAGGGACACAGAGGGGATGGGAGAGACATCTTTTCACTTTTATCTAAATGGGAGAGAGAAAGCATTGTTTCAAACCACAGGCCGCATCCACGGGCTCAGTGGATCCCTGTAAGATATCCCTGTGACTTACTTGCTATCAAGAGGCAGCGGGGCTGTGCAGAACTTGCCGACAATGAATGGCTCATCCTTCCTCCAAAACTGATTCTTGGGGAGATACTTCAGTGTCATGCTGTTTATCTGGCAGGGGGGCACTCTGTGGGCCAGAAGCCGTTTGCCCACCACATGGTGCTTAGGTCTGAAAGGCAAGGTGAGAGGTGTGAAGGAGAATGTTCAATCAACTTGTAGATGCAGGCCGTATGCAGATGTCTTGAAACACTGGAGTAACCAGGGTATTATTGTGAAGCCCTCACATAATGGAGTGAGAAGACTTATCTGTCAAAACAAGGCATTGCATGAGAGTCTTATTGGCTGTCTCTCCATGTTTTATCTCTATAGGCAGGAATATTCCTGCACAAACATCCTTCCTTCCATCACATAATTACAACAGCTTTTCTTGCCCAGATTGCTACAGAGCAGTAAGTGGTAGATAAGATCAACAACTATGAAATGATGAATGGCACAGCTAGAGATCGGTTGTCCACCGTTTCTTCCAGGACATAAACTAGGGGTCATCAAAGAAAGCTAAGAGGTGGCAGGCTCTAAAGGATTGTACACTGCACAGAGGACCATTCCTATTAAGCTGTTAAAATCTTTGCTATGGGATGTTGTGGATGGTAGAAGGTTTACATGACTGTACAAGTCATAAGAGAGGGACAGGACAAGTTCATGGAAGACACAAGCATTGGCAACTAACATGGACACAGATCTCAACTTTGGCTCTGAAAGTCCCTGAGATTTAATTAGTTAGACACTAGGAAACTATTTAGGACTGGACAAGTTAATGGAAGACAAAAGCATTGGCAACTAGTATGGACACAGATCTCAACTTTGGCTCTGAAAGTCCCCGAGATTTAATTAGTTAGACACTAGGAAACTATTTGGGGGAAATACTGCTACATGGTTACACTGTGTTTTTATTCTCTTCTGTAGGTATTTGCTTTTGACCATGTTGAAGGTGGGATGCTTGGATAGAGGGATGCATAGTTGTCCCTATGCTCTTACCCAGGTGACAAGAACTGAGAAACGCCAGAGACTGGGTAAACAGCTAATGATCAGAGCCCAGTTGGTCATGTGCTATGAAGTGGTACTGCCCAGCCATTTTACATAGGTGGGCTGCCTTCCTTCTGTGGCATCCATCCAATGAGCCTTCTTACGCCTGATCTACTTGGCATCTCTAGGAGATGGAGACGATAAATTTCCTTGTACTCATGAAGAACATGTGTGTTGCTGACTCAGCGCAATCCCAGAAGCACCTGGGTAACTGCCTGATCAGAAATATCAGAGTAGGGGAAGGGGAGAGATGACAAAATGGTCAGGAAGAGGCTACAATTCTGCTACACAAAGTTCCTCCTGGTAGTGGGCTAATGGCTGTACTCAGTGTCCTCCTAGGCCAGAGTGGCCAACCCGCTCCTGGTAGTGGGCTGATGGCCCAGTGTCCTCCTAGGCCAGAGTGGCCAACCCAAACCAGTACATCCTGTCCTCTCCCTTAGACTGTGGTGGTAGATGCTGGAGTTTTTATGTGTCTGACTGTGTGTGGCTTGAAGCTGCCAAAAATTGGAAGCATCATGAAATTGTGGCTACAAAGGTGAATAATGATAGCGAGTAGAAAACAAATAGAGGGGAGACTATCTCTCTACTGCATATTGTCCATGGCCCATGTCCATGATCCAGCTTTGCCTTAAGACAGAGGAACACAGTAAGTTAGGCAGAGTGAAGGAAGTCATTCTTGGGAGTGACATTTGGTCTAGCATGGATGTAGGACTCTAGCTGACTTTGGAGATATGTTTACTTGGATGTGGGGTACGTCATGTGATGTGTAAGCAATGGCAATGGAAATGTGCTGTGTAACAAGCTCCTTACTCTGTCAGCCCCATGGCAGCTGTGGGGCTTGGGGACATGTGTCTTGAGGCACTCTGAGCAACGTGTGTGGGGTAATGGCATCCCGAGGAGCAAGACTGGAATTGGCATTTGGGAAGGGAGAAGTGAAGGGCAGCAGGAGGCAAGACACAACTGTGTGAGTCACTTGCTGAACACTCCCAAGTGTCTGTGCACTTCTGGGGAACTGTAGGATGACGTGCATGTTAGATCACCTGAAGTAAGTCAGTGATCCTTCAGTGTCTGAACTGCAATGTGGGAATCTATGTTTATATGCCTGTTTGACACTCTGAGTTGACTGCACTGGAGGGCTGACCTTTGCTTACAGCAGGGAAGTCTCTGCTATAGTGTGAATTAAAAGGGATATCTTCAATTTTATACTCTCAAATCTGTAGGTTTATTGCTATAAGCAAATTTTTCAGTTTAGCCTTGTGCTTTTTGGGAGAGCACTTAAATGAAGTACAGCTGCTGTTCTCCCAGGGTAAGGTTATCTCTGGATAGGTTACCCTACTATAACTCTACTGCCTCATTTGCCTACAGCAGGGAAGTCTCTTTGCTATAGTGTGAATTAAAAGGGATATCTTCGCTTACAGCAGGGAAGTCTCTGCTATAGTGTGAATTAAAAGGGATATCTTCAATTTTATACTCTCAAATCTGTAGGTTTATTGCTATAAGCAAATTTTTTGGTTTAGCCTTGTGCTTCTTGGGAGGGCACTTAAATGAAGTACAGCTGCTGTTCTCCCAGGGTAAGGTTATCTCTGGATAGGTTACCCTACTATAACTCTACTGCCTCATTAAAACTTGAGGGTACAGCAAAGCCTCGGGATTGTCTGCCTATTTCTCTTCCCCTGGCAGCCTTTCCCTCCAGTGCTCATATGCCTCCTGCTGGACACCTACCAAACCCTGTGTCCGACACTGCAGAAGTGCTGCACGGGTGCTACACTTGATCTAGGTGTTACTATTCCCTCCCTCCTGCATCTCTGGCAAAGGTAGATCTGGTTTTCTGGGGGGTTGAACAGACTGAGCTCCGCCAGGCTGGAGTACGAACTCCAAATTGCAGTGCCTGGCTGGAAATCTGGACACAGTAGGTCTGCCATGCTGGAGAGAACCCTGGAGTGTGGCTTCCATTTCCCTGGTTCCCACCTCTACCTCTTGGTGCCCAGGATCGAAGCAGCAACACAATTAGCTTCAGGTCACAATGTTTTGGCTTAGCACAAGGGCTGTGTGGGAGCCAGCACTGGAACCCCTCTGATTCTCAGAAAGCTGGCTGGGACTCTTTAGCATACTGCTTTCCTACTTCCTGATGCATCCAGCACCACGTGCTAGTTGCATGTCTGCATTGTGGTTCCCAGCTCACAGCATTGAGCAGGATGGTGTAGGAAGAAGAGAGAAAGACTTCTGGGGAACTTCCCTGTGGTGGGGAGATCCCCCTGAGACAACGGCTGTGGAACAGGAGTCTGAGTCTGGTTCTTTAATTCAGATATGGTTTGGAGGGTGATGCTTCCAAGACAGATCTGTCTATCTACACATGTGATCTTGGTCCCCTGCCCCCTGGACTTTTCCCTACAATGGGAGCCTGAGTGCTTTGTTGCATTACTGCAGTGGCAGCAAGCTACATTTCTGACTGTGAAGAGATGCGCTTGTCTGCTTTTTGCAATTAGTGTCCTACTAGGCATCAAGAGAAATGTCTAAGCCACCAAATCCATCAGCCTGGAACCTCTAGTGGATGGGATCTTGCTGTAGCCATCTGTCTGGCAGAATAGAGCTAATAAGTACTTGACCGATTGTGGTTTGAATTGGCACCAGGCAAGGGTATGTTATAGAAAAGGAACCCGCATAGCAACACAAAAGTATGCAAATTCTGACAGTGATTGTGGTTTGAATTGGCACCAGGCAAAGGTATGTTATAGAAAAGGAACCCGCATAGCAACACAAAACTATGCAAATTTGGGGATCCTGGAGTGTATTGACCGATTGTGGTTTGAATTGGCACCAGGCAAGGGTATGTTATAGAAAAGGAACCCGCATAGCAACACAAAAGTATGCAAATTTGGGGATCCCGGAGTGTATCTACTGCTTTGTGCACTCAGGGAAGAGGTGAACCTAACCAGGGTTACCAAGTAATGGTAGCACAAGAATCGTCTTGAGAGAATTTAATGTAAATGTGGAGGTACTCAAGAAGAGAGGTTGTAGTTCATCACACAGTGACTGCACTCAGGGATATATGCTATCTTCTGCCTTTCTTGGACTGATAGAAACATCCTTAACACACGGAGCTGGGATAAAACAGGCCAGAAGCGTTTACCGTCACTCACATGGTGATCTTGGCTTTGTCCTCGGTGCTGTTGCCGAAGAAAGTGATCTCAATGCTGGTGACTACGTTTCTTTTCTTCTGCAAGTGGAACTCAACCAGGCTGTGATAGACTAAGCAAGAGACAAGGTATGTGGGAGTTGAGGGCAGGTACTGTCAGTTGGACTTGTACTCATTTCCTGACCCCACCAGCAGAAAGAAGATTAAACAGACATAAGAAAGAACCTCTTCTCTGTGGTATGAGAGGCCCAGTGGGCAGGTCTGCACAGTCCAGTCAGGCATTTTCATAAACAGACAGGCATTTTCATGGAGTGCAACTTCAGTCCTGAAGCCATGTGGCTGTCTTAGTCCAGGGCTGTGCCCACACTAATAAACCTATTGGAAAGGGCTTTATGGGGTACATGTGCAGGGTTATTGTTTTTCAGCTGTGTGTCGCGGACGTCTGAGCCACAGCATCTAATTCTGATAGGGATGGTGGGTTGTAACTACCTAGCTTCCCCCCAGAATCTGCCATATTTGGTCAACCCTCTTCTGAGGTGTCCTTGCCCATGGCAGGGTGGTTAGATCTAGATGATCTTTAAGGACCCTTCCAACCCAAGGCATTTTCATAAACAGACAGGCATTTTCATCACCCTTTACTTCAGTCCTGAAGCCATGTGGCTGTCTTAGTCCAGGGCTGTGCCCACACTAATAAACCTATTGGAAAGGGCTTTATGGGGTACATGTGCAGGGTTATTGTTTTTCAGCTGTGTGTCGCGGACGTCTGAGCCACAGCATCTAATTCTGATAGGGATGGTGGGTTGTAACTACCTAGCTTCCCCCCAGAATCTGCCATATTTGGTCAACCCTCTTCTGAGGTGTCCTTGCCCATGGCAGGGTGGTTAGATCTAGATGATCTTTAAGGACCCTTCCAACCCACACCATTCTATTATTCTGTGGTTCTATTACTCTTCTTTTCTCATGCTACTTACCACAGAATGGGGCTGAGGGACTGGTCATCAAGTAAACTTTCACTTCCTTGGGCAGATTCTTCATGTTGACACCAGCCTGCTCCAGCAGGCCTGCAGGAAGAAATAAAGCCAGTGCAGGGAAAGCAATGAATCACCCAGAACAGAAATATAATTGGTCCTGATTCACTTCCACTCACACCGCCCAACTCCACTGTCTTGGGTGATGGACCCTTTCTTAAACCAGTGCAAATCAGAGCAAGTTTGTGGTGTCTGTTTGACAGGTTAACATTCCCTCAGGAAACCTATTCTAGCTACCCCATGTAATCATCATCAGAGTAACTCTCGGTGGCTTTGTTTCATTCCTCTGCTAACTGTCATCAGTTGCACCTGTGCAGAATAAGCAAGACTAAAGACGATCAAGTTAGGAAACTTTGTGCAGATGTAAATGACTGCAAACACAGGGTGCTGGGAAATTGAACTTATTCGTCAAGTGAGAAGACCACCATAACTTGACTAGCTGACAATGTGGCTTGATGAGATGGGAAAGGGGTGGCTGATCTGAAAGCACTTATACCAAAAGAGGCCTCTCATTCCTCTGGTCCTATTTGCAGTCTGGCACCAGAGGACACTTCTTCTCCTCATGCCACAGCCCACTTTCAGAAGCCTAAAAGACCAACTATTAAATTCTCCCAGTTCGGGGACTTCATCTTTGGGATGACCATGGCAGTAATTTATGAGAAAGAGATGACACAACAACGAGTGGTTTGTAGATGAATAAGACTTGAGGCTTGGACTAAAATTTCCAGCTACTTCTCTAAACAAGACACTTTTTGAGCTAACTGCCCACTTGTTATGCAGGTGATTCTTGAGACTCTCAACTCATTTTTGGGCCCTGTGAAATGTTTAAAGGTCAGAAATGTTCAAGATTTTGTTGTTCTACACTGGGCGATGTATGAGCTTTTAGAGCTTCTCTATAGAAGCCTAAAAAAGAAACAGCTTCTCGCTATCCCCAAAGAGATGCAAAGCAAATCCTGCTCAGGTTGATCTAACTGCCTACTGTGTGTTGCACTGACACCCATCAGGAATGTATTCTCATCTGCTCTAGGAAGGTCTCATGCTGGTACTTTACCTATTCTGGGACAGGAGAACAGGAAGGGGTCAACGCAGTCCAGGCAACGTCCATTTAAAAAGTCTTGATAACTTGTACAAGGGAACGCCAGGATCGGACAGGAATGTTTCAAGGCGCTGACATAGAGATGTACTGCCCTCATGTGATCACAGATCAGATACTTATAGCCTGCAAGAAAAAATGTACCCAGAGAAAAGCAGCCGTGAGTCTTTCCCTTGGCTCCTGTCTTTTTGCATGCTCCCGAGGAACTGAGAGTCGAGAAACACTCTTACTGATCTGCAGCCATCTCCTTCCCACTAGTAGCATTTTGCAGAGCACATCTGTGACTACAAGCCCAGATCCCACTTCAAGAGAATTTATGCAGGTAATTAGGAGTTTATCTCCCAGACTAACAGAGTGCCCCAGAAGAAGGGGACTACAAGGCTACCACATCTCGACCAGTGTACCATTGAGGAGGCCCCAGGCTCTCTGCAAGGGGGTACAATAGCTTTGACTCTCACTGGCACTGGGACCCCAGCTGTGGGAAGTGAGGTATCATAGGTGTCCCTCAAACACACCGAGTATTTATCCACACTATTTGCTGTGTAAAGCCCTATTGTCTAGAAGGAAAAGGGAGTAATCACAAAAGCTGAGTATAGACACAGCTTGCAAAAAAGAAACTTTTGCTAGTAGTACCTAAGAGCCCTTCTAGCAAAAAATGTTTTCTTTGTTCATACAAAGTCTACTGATGCTAGGGCTTTGGCTGATACAGTGGCAACAGAGGTGCTGCCAAGACACTTGACCTGTATGTGATTTTAATTTCAGCTGCTTGTAGACTGATGAAAGAACACGTGGGCCATGAATCTCTGCTGCCACGTGTCTTTACAAATATATGTATACATTTCTGCCCTGACTGTAGCAGGAACTCCTTGCCAAACAGCATTTTCACAAGCTGCTAAATTGCCATGAAAGCCCTTTGCTTGGCCACAGAGTGCTCTCACCTGCAGAGATGAATCGGGGGCATCCTGGCTGGTCTTTGCCTCCATTGATGAAGTAATCGATGTGACCTACAGGAATCCGGATCCCAAAATCTGAAAGGAGGGGAAATGCCACTTCATTCTTACACTTGGCTATTCTGTGGGTTTTACCCTACATGCTGCTTGACAGGCCCCAATAATTGGTTGAACATTAGTAGCGCAGGACCAAGCTCCAGCGCTGGAGACAGCAAGGGACAGATTTCCTACACACCTGCATTGTGCAAGTTTGTTGCATGGAGCAGAGAGTGCTCCAAGCCCTGTCATCAAAATGACTGGGAATTTAATCACCACCTCTGTGCTTCAGGTTCTTGATTCTGTATAAAGGAGAACAAAACTGATCACAACCTTAATGGGGGATTATGAGGCATGATTGAGAATTACACTGGTAGAGGTTTTTCTCCAGGCAAGAGATGTGACTCAAATGCACCATGTTATTCTTCAGCACATGTTCTGCCTATCTAGACCCTAAATGCTTTAGAAAAGTTACCCTGTTGTTGCACCAGCTGCTGGTTTGACTCTGCTACTTTGCACCAGCACTTGCAGTGGCACCTTTCTTACCTCAGGTGGGAGAAAGCAAAGTGAGACTAGACATGTAAATTCCTTCCAGGTGGTGAAAGCCATGCTCAGCTGGTTCTGCACAAGATCACTCTGCTGTAGCAGGGTTAAGTAAGAAATAGTTGCTGGAAGATTGCCCTCTGTCTATTCTCCACCTGTCTGTGCTCCAGGGTATGGATACTGCCAATGAATTCATCATTAATCACAGAATTAAAGCCTGTCTAATCAGGGAACTTCCTCTGAATGAATCTGAACTCATGGTAATCTGGAAAAAAGGGACAATGACCTGCAGACTTCTTAGCACTAACAATGGCAGGAGGAAGAGAAGCACTGGCTGAAGAAGACAGAAGTCAGCTTACTGTCAGCATCAGTATGAATGGCCTCCACGAAGAGGGCATCCCCAGGGTCCAGGCGTTCCTCAAGGCTGGCTCTGGTGTACTTAGGTCCTGCGGGATCCAGGCCTGTAACAAAATCAAGCACCTCAACAAGTGCTCTTCAGCCCCTGTCTTTTTTGTTTGTTTGTTTTTCTGGACCAGTTATTTTATTCAAAACTTTAAAAAAGTTGCTAGGCAAAGCGAGATATTTTTCCCAGGTCACACTGATTATGCTCCAGAATAGTTTCTGCCCCTTCTAACTTCCACTACAGCTTCCTTACCTCATCCTCCATTGTTCTATTCCCCTTTAACAGTTTTTTACCTGCAGTTTTTAGGCTGTGAAGCCATGACTTCAAATAGCTCTGACAGAGTGGCTGCAGAGTGTCTTTTGGATTTTTGGTGAAAGAGAATCACACTTATAACACCTCCCCTAATTGTACTGTCATCAGTATTAACACTACAGTCTGAGAAACATAACTGAAGATCATCAGTTAGGTGACAAATTCAGCATCACAGGCATTAACCAATCCAAGCATTACAAAGGTTTTATACTATCAAACATCCTTAAAACAAAGAGGCTTCTGAGCCCTCTCCCTACAAATAAAATCGAGTTCTTAAGCAGCCATCTACATTTTTGCCAGAAACTTGCTCCTAGACCAACTTGTGGGGAGTCAAAGGAATACAGAAAGTTATCCTTGGCAATACCAAGGAACAGGTTAAAGATTTTAATTTTTTGTTTTTGTGTTCTGGCTGAGGTTTATCCTGTTCACTTTTCATAGAAAAGTAATCTCACAAGATTTTTTTCACTCCCCAGCCAACAACAGTAGTTTAAGGAGCAGCTCTGCTCCACATGCCACTTAGCCTCAGAACTGGCCAGTTTCAGTGCCTTGAACTCCATCCCATTAATTTCTATGGAGGAGGCAATATCAACAACATACAAACTGATGTGTCTGCATCTGTCAGGAGGGATGGAAGGAGGAAAAGGGAGCAAAGGGAAAAAAATATCTTTCCTATTCTTTCTATAAATAGAAGCTAGTAATGCAACAAGTGGTCAGAAGAATGTACTGCTTTAATTTTTCTTCCATGTTCTTTAATCTTGATGCTTACAAAAAGCTGAAAAGTTCCCCATCCACTACTACAGACCAAGTTTTAGTTAAAGACTTTAAGAGATACTGGAAAGTGCTATTTGGTATAGCTTAAAGTTCTTCCTGAGGAGGGAGAAATACCTAATACGAACAGCAGTTAATTCTGGCACAGCTCTGAAGCAAGTGTGTTTCTTTCCTCTATTCTCTATGCCTACCTCCTCCAAGCATAAGCTGCATAAACTCCATTGAGATGTACATCCTCAGCAGCTGAAACTGAAACTATACCGTATGCAACTGAATTCCTTCAGGCTTTTTTGTTTTCTCTGTAAATATTGAAACAAATTGCCCTTCAGCAATTTTGAATATGGGATGTTCATTCCAATTCCTGTACAATTTGCTTTCCTGCACAGGGAGGTATCTACAGGAACAGGCATGAATTAAAGAAAGTCACATGATCAAAATAAATGTTGTGCTCTGGGCTCCAAGATTCACCCTGGTTTTGCTCCACAGGTCTTTATAGGTGATTGAAAACACTTCAGCAAAGTATGGCTCTGGGATCACATTCCTCTCTGCATGTGTGTGTGGAGGCAGGAGATGAGATCAGGTGTATCTTGGGTCTAATTCTTCCTCACACCCAGATACCTGGGTCTCCAGGTCAGCTTGATTTGGTACAGCTGGGTGGTCTTAGACCAGTCTACTGTGAAAAGTTGACTTGTAGGAGAGAATAGCTAGAAGCCTCATCTGAGACCTCCTAATATTGGGTCAGGTTCTTGCCTTAACTATGTTGTAGGGATGCCATGCCCAGCCTTGTGTCTTGCTGGTCCTGCTTTTATCTTGCTGACCTGACTTCCTGGATCAACTTTGGGCTTGCCTTATCACTACAGACCTGTCTGATGACCACTGGACTGTGGATGACCCTGGTTCCTGTCACTGGATCTGCTCTGCTCTTCTTGCCCAGATACAGGTAGGACTGTGACCCTTGTCAGTAAGGGGTGCCCCTGCCCATCTTGCTGTACCCTTGGCTCTCAGCTTACATTTTCCTGCAGAGTAGCTCACTGTTGCTGCTCCCCCACAAAAATTGCATTGTGGGCTTTAATTTTAAGAACCACAGAGATATACATGCTATGAAGCGGAAGTGACAGCATGTGGGTGTTGGAGGTTTTCATTAGTCACAAAGCCTCATAGTCTTTTAAGCTGGTACCAATTGAAAAGTGGTGCAGAGGCAGAAGGACCCTTTTGCAAATACATGCATTCTTTTGGTGGTAAGGAGGGGTCTGATGGCTGGAAGAAGCCTATAAGCTTGGATCTAGTGAGACCTTATGTAATTAAAAAACCACTAAAGATTACTCTCCTTCCTTGCTCTTTCATTGTCTCCCTTGAAGAGCAGGTGAGGACCCAAGACTCAGTTTTATGGTACCTGTTATCCGTCCCAGCTGACTGCCATGGAAGTGCCCCACCAGGCCACCGACATGCGCACCAAGGCTTACCCCAATGATGTGGATGGATGTTGCTGAAACTCCCAGGGCCTGCAGATTGATGATAATACAAATTAATGTTTCTGTAGCAGAAAGTTGAAATATCTTATCCCAGCCCACACAGTAGCTCTGTAACTCTTCTAATATAAGATTGCTTTTGAGGTGTATGGTGGAGAACCAAATAGCTGTAGGAATGATGGGTATTGCCCTTTCTATTTTTCAGAGTCTTTCTTCATGTCTACAGATTCAAATCCAACCCTAACCAGGTTGGTCAGATGCTCCTGTTCGTAGCTACATAGCCCGTAGCTTCTCTTTCCATAGCTTGCTTCAGACTGAATTTCCCTTTCTCAGCTGAGTGACCGATGTTCACCATGTGAATAATCTTCTTCTCAGTAAAGCAGAGGAAATTTTTTTCCCACTTTTATACCACCATTGTACCAACACCCTGATTAGTATTTTAAGATTATATTTTCAGAGATTAAGGATTTATCCATGGGCTGAACTGCCAGGTAAAGCACAGCCACTTAGACCTGATGTGAGATTACCCCATCCACAGGAATTCGGCTGCCTGCAGGTCATGATGCATGATGGGAGAGCATATGGTACATGAGAGTGTTGGGGCAAGATGAAGGAAATCTGACTTTGAAATGTATGAGGTCATATCCTGTAGCAGTACTGAGATTTATAAGATAATATAGTCTTCTATGGTGTAGAGTTGCAGGAAAGGCCGGACAGAAAAAGTCCTTAAGTAGCTGGACTAGAGCTCAGTACAGACATGGAATGAGTGGTGGGGACACTGTTCAGCTCGGTCATTTGTTCACTGTGTGACCTAATCAGTAATGAGGGATGACAGTCTTCCTGCCCTACACCCCATCCCCCATCCTCATCCTTTTAATGACACACTGGCTCCAAGGGTTGCTGCATTTCTGGATAGAAATATGTGACTGTGCACGTGGTGCATGCGAGGGAACTCCCATGCTGCGCAGCCTGGGTGTGCAGTGCGAATATTATACAGAGAATTTACACATAGCTGGTTAACACAAAGATGTATCACCCTTGTTGCATAAGTGTTGAGCTGTGCCAGAACAAACTGGGATACATCGGGGATTTCCAGCTACTGGGACGTATACCTGAAGCCCAAAGAAAATATAAAATAGCCTCAAAACCCACCCCCTCCAGCTCCCTGGACAGAAGATGATGACTGTCCAGTGAAGTACGGAAAAACCTGAGAAAACCTGAGGCATCCTTCAGGTTTGTCCCAAGCTGGAGAGGCAGCTGTTTTTCCAGAAAATGTCAAAACTCAAGAGAAAGAAGAAAAACAGTGGCATGCTCAAGCCTGGACTGAGAAAGAGGGAACAAAGAAATCTCTTTAGTGCTCCACAGTGCTTGTTCTGGAATAAAAGGCCTGTTTGTCCAGCTCCAGGTGACAGCAGGTTGGGATCAGCTCTCTGGATTGTTTGCATGAATGATGTTCTCTGGCCATGCTCCCCACGCTGGAAATGTGCAGTATCTTACCAGGAGCTTGCTGATGAATTGTGAGATGGAGAGTGCCAGTTGTGTGACATTTTCCACTGCGGAGGGATAGGCTGCTGTCGATCCATAAACCCAGTCTACTGCAATCACGTTCACTTGACTTGTATGCAGTATGGCATGGACAAGCCCTTCGATCCAGGAAGGTTTGGTACCCAAAGCCCTGTGGAGTCATTAGAAACAAGCAGGTTAGGTGTCTTTCACAGCAAGGCATGTGCCAATATGTTGTTCACTTGTGCTGGAGTTTCACATGTCTCAGAAGAGGCTGCCAGACAGTTGCTGAAAGGTTTTTCTGGTGCCAGATGCCCTGGCATTTCTTTGCGGTGGTGTAATAATGCTTTCCAGAATGGGCAGATTCAGAAGGGAACCAGATATTTTAATGAATTCATTAAAATTTTAATGAATTTGCAGACCTCAGTCTGAGATGTCAGTCTTGCTGTCGTGCTTCAGCTAGACACCGCAGAGCCCCTCTGGAGTGACCTGACCAGGAACACCTGGATCCTGCTCTGCTACATTCTTGCAGGAAGTCCTTGGTTAAGTCACCTAGCCTTTCACTCCTACATTCCCTCATCTGTAGACAATTAAAAAAGAAATTATATACCCAAGAATTCAAGGACAACTGAGGAGACTGTGTCCTCCCCAGTGTGGGCAACATACAGGAGGCGCTGGAAGCCACCATGCTGCTAGAAAGCTGTGACTTAGTTACCATTAATGGAACTTGATGGGATGAATCCCATGACTGGAGTGCAGCTATCGATGGCTACAGACTGTTCAGAAGGGACAGGCAAGGAAGGAGGGGTGGAGGCATTGCTTTCTATATCATGAAATTGATTGAGTGTGAAGAGCTGTCTCTGAAGAATAGCCACGAGCAGGTTGAAAGCTTATAGGTAAGAATTAGAGACCAAGGCAACAAAGGGAACCTTGTGGCTACAGGCCGCCTGATCAAGGGGAGGTTATGTATGAAGCCTTCTTGCTCCAGCTACAGAAGGCATCACACTCGCAGGCTCTCGTCCTGCTGGGGGACTTCAACCACCCCAACATTTGCTGGAAAAGTAGTGCAGCAAGCTGTAGGCAATCCAGGAGACTTCTAGAATGCATTGAGGATAACTTCTGAAGCCAGGTCATAGACAGCTCCACCAGAGGGGATGTGATTCTGGACCTGATGGTCACCAACGCAAGTCAGCTAATCAGTGACATCAAGATTGGAGGCAGCTAAGGCTGCAGTGTTCATGCACTGGTGGAGTTCACAGTCCTCAGGGATATGGGTCAGGCAATGAGTAAAATCAGGATCCTAAATTTTAGGAAAGCAAAATTCCAGCTCTTAAAAGTGTTAGTCAATAGGACCCCCTGAGAAACTGCCCTCAGGGACAAGGAAGCAGCACAGAGCTGGCAGATCTTTAAGGATGCCTTCCATAGAGTGCAAAAGCTGTCGATGCCCAAGTGTAAGAAATCAGGAAAACAAGGCAAGAGACTGATATGGCTGAGTCAAGACCTGCTGGTTAAACTAAAGGGCAAGAAAGAGATGAACAGGCAGTGGAATCAGGGGACAGGTATCCTGGGAATAGTACAGGGACACTGCCTGGTTGTATAGGGATGGGGTCAAGAAGGCCAAGGCACAGCTGGAGTTGAACTTGGCAGGGGATGCAAAGAATAATAAGGGCTTCTACAGGTGTGTCAGCCAGAAAAGGAAGGTCAAAGAAAGTGTACCCCCCTGATGAGCAAGACTGGCAAACTGGTAACAGTGGATGAGGAGAAGGCTGAGGAATTTAACAACTTTTTTGCCTTGATCTTCACTGGCAACCTCTCTCCCCACGCCTCTCGAGTGGATGGACATCAAGATTGGAGTAGCAAAGCCCCTTCAACTGTAAGGTTCATGACCAACTGAGGAGCCTGAACATACAGAAGTCTATGGGACCCGTTGAGGCACATCCCAGAGCCCTGAGGGAACTGGGCTGATGTAGCAGCCAAGCCACTCTCCAAGATATTTGAAAAGTCATGGCAGTCAGGTGAAGTCCCCCGTGACCAGAAAAAGGAAAATCTTAAACCCATTTTTAAGAAGGGCAGAAAGGAGTACTCTAGGAACTACCAACCTGCCAGTCGTGCCTCTGTGCCTGAGAACATCATGGAACAGATCCTCCTTGAAGCTATGCTAAGGCACATGGAGAACAGAGAGATGATTCAAGACAGCCAGCATGGTTTCACCAAGGGTTAAGTCCTGCCTGACCAACCCAGTGTCCTTCTATGATGGAGTGATTATGTCAATGGACAAGGGAAGAGCTACAGATGTTGTCTATCTGGACTTCTGTAAGGCCTTCGACAGGGTTCCCCACAACATTCTTCTCTCTAAATTAGAGAGATATGGATTTCCTGGGTGGACTATTCAGTGGATGAGGAATCGATTGGCTGGTCACATCCAGAGGGTAGAGCTCAACAGCTCAATGTCCAAATGGAAATCGGTGACAAGTGGGTCTACAGACCCTCAGGGGTCCATATTGAGACCAGTACTGTTTATACCTACAGACCCTCAGGGGTCTGTATTGAGACCAGTACTGTTTATATCTTCACCAATGACATAGGCAGGGGGATTGAGTGCACTCTCAGCAAGTATGCAGACAACACCAAGCTGAGTGGTGCAGTCAACATGCGTGAGGGGTGGATGCCACCCAGAGGGACCTAGACAAGCTTGAGAAATAGGCCCATGTGAACTTCATGAGGTTCAACAAGGCCAAGTGCAGGGTCGGGGCAATGCCCAGTATCAATGCAGGCTGAGGGATGAAGCGATTGAGAGCAGCTCTGACGAGAAGGACTTGGGGGTACTGGTGGATTAAAAACTTGACATGAGCCCACAATGTGTGCTTGCAGCTCAAAAAACCAACCATATCCTGGGCTGCATCAAAAGAAGCGTGGGCAGCAGGTTGAGGGAGGTGATTCTGCCCCTCTACTCTGCTCTGGTGAGACTTCACCTGGAGTACTGCATCCAGCTCTCGGGGCCTCAGCACAGGAAAGACATGGACGTTTTGGAGTGAGTCTACAAGAGGGCCACAAAAATGATCAGAGGGCTGGAGCACCTCTCCTATGAAGGTGGGCTGAGGGAGTTGGGGTTGTTCAGCCTGGAAAAGAGAAGGGCCTGTGGACACATTATAGCAGCCTTTCAGTACTCGAAGGGGGTTATAAGAAAGATGGGAACAGACTTTTTAAGTAGGGCCTGTAGAGATAGGACAAGGGATAATGGGTTTAAACTAAAAGAGCGTAGATTTAGGCAAGATATAAGGAAGAAATTGTTTACAACGAGGGTGATGAAACACTGGAACAGGTTGCCCAGAGAGGTGGTAGATGCCGTGTCCCTGGAAACATTCAAGGTCAGGTTGGAGGGGCTCTGAGCAACCTGATCTAGTTGAAGATATCCCTGCTCATTGCCGGGGAGGTTGGACTAGGTGACCTTTAAAGGTTCCTTCCAACCCAAACTATTCTATGAGTCTATGATTCTATGATACTCACTTCCCCTAATGCCAGCTGGTGGGAGGTGTGTTGTATCACGAGGGCAACAGCTGGTTTTCTGAAAAGACCCTGCAACGTCTTCTGTGGTTTCATCCTGATCTTCTATGCACTTTTCATTCAGGCTTTTGTGCATCAAAACAAATGTTACATGGTCACACCTGGCTGAAAAATGGTACAGTAAAACAAGCTTGCAGACTGCTGACAGCTTAAAAAAAACCAGCTCAAATCCCTACAATATCAAGAATAGAAGCATAATGTGTCTGGGCGGGCTCCTAAATGGCTGACTAATCCAGGTTGTTGATAAACCAGAACATGAAGTCCAATGAGACAATTTAAAAGGACAAGAATCTTGAAGAAAATACATTTTAAATGAAAAGGTTGAAAGAAGGAAAGAGGAGGAGAAAGAGAGAGAGAAAGAAATAGAGAGAGAGAGAAGAAAGAAAGAGAAAAGAAAGAGAGAAAAAAGAAAGAGAGAAAGAAGGAAAGAGAGAAAGAGAGAAAAAATTTCCCAACTTTTTTTAGGCTCCAAAAAATATACACACAAAATAGGCAGCTGGTCACAAACTAAAGGACTTCAAGTTGTGTTGTAATGAGAGTTGTCAGCAGTATTTTCCATGCCAACAGTCTCCCAGACTCTCTTCTTAGCAGGTGTTTTGCAGGTAGTCCCTCTGCTAGCGAGACTAAAGAAGGTCACACAAGCAGGGGGTTTCCATGCCAGTCTCACCCAGTACTTGGAAATGCCCCAGCAGTATTTAATTTGCCAGTAAAAAGTTAGTCACAGTGCTCTTCTTTCTCTCACCTGAAGCCATGGATTATGATCTTGGTTTCCAGGCTGCTGTTGAAGCTGGAGTTCTTGATGCCATCATCAGCTAAAATCAGCTCCCCACAACTAGGGCTTGAGGAGGTAAACAGGAGAAACTGGACATTAAGTTTGCTGCCCCGTAGGATATATGCTGTCTGGAAGTCAGTACAGTGATGCCCTGAGACTCTGTCTGTATTCCCTGCAACGAGAGGGAGTGAATAGCATTTTTAGTCTGTATCTGTGCAATGGAACAAAAAACAAGGTAATTCTAATTAATTAGGAAAATGAAGGTAGCAATCTTGCTTCTTTTGATGAAGATTCAAAGGATAGAACACATTAAAATCAGCCTATTTTGGAAACTTTATCTGTGTGATAAAGTAGATTTACTTCGAAGGGTTGTTTTACTGAGACACAAATGACATTCTGTTAGTTTTTTTTTTCCAAGTGGGCCACACAAGCCAGCAACTAAGTACATTTATGAGCTGGCTATTTGATCTTTTAAAAAATAGTTGCCAATAGATAGTCACCACTGAATGGGGGTATTGCTATTCAAATTTTGGTAGACTTAGTAGAAAGTACAGGTTTAATTGGCAATTGGATCAAAAATCCAGAAATAAATATAAGAATGTACTAGTTAAAAACTGAGCAAATTTAGGCTAGAAAGCAAGCATAGAAATTTAGCAGTATGTATGGCCAGCAGTATGCATAGCTAGGTTACCCACAGAAGAGCTGGATTCTCCATCTTTTGTCATTTTAGAGGACTGGCTGCTATTTTGGAAGGCTTGTTGATGGTAAAATGTTGGATTTACTGAAGGACTAATGGGGTGAAATTTACCGACCTGTGCTGAGTAGGAAGCCAAATAATTGATCCCTTCTGACCTAAAAAGTGTTACTTTATGAACTGGCATAGTTGCATCTTGCTACAGTAACAATGCGTGCACGTTCCCTTTTCTGGGGTGGAGGAAGTGAAACCGCCTTGAATCTGCATGTACAATAAAATAAAAATTTTAAAAAAAACCCATCAGCCATCTTCCTAACTGCTGGCTGTTCCCATAGAAGATACTTTACACTAGCTAGGCAGTACATGGCCTATGGGTCAACACAAAGAAGTGAGATTTGACATTCAGATTCCCCCTTGTGGGATGTGACTATCCCTTATGGTTGTTTATTTTGGTCTTCATGTGTGCTGAAGGCAACAAAGACATTGTCTGAGATTAATTCAGAAAAAACACATTTTATGAGCCAGCTTAACTAGCAAGGGCAGGTTCAGTGCAAGCACGGTGCATGTCAGAAATGGTGTTAAGATGAAAGGGAGTAAAGGTAAGGCAAGAGGTGCAGCACTGCTATGAAGCTACAGCTGATGGTGGACTGTAGTTATCGTCGTAAAAGCAATTTTCATTGACAGTACAATTAAAGAAAGAAGTGGAAGTGTGGCATCTGTTTATGTTCTCTTGGCTATTGCAGATTATACTTGCTAAGTTTTCAAAGCAGGAGATGCCAGTGCAGAGGTCAAGTGGTCCCTTTTCCACTTCCTTACCCTTCAGGGTAAACCCAGATCATTCTTTTAAGTCAGGTTAGTGGAATTAAATCACTGAGACTGATTGAATCAAAGCATGGGAGAACAAAGGTCTGTTCTTGTACTACCCTTTTTCCTGGCATCTAATTAGATTATAGCAAGGACCTCTTGACACACAGGTTGTTTCAGCTCTTCCTGTGTGAAACCTTCAATTCCTTGCCAAGCACTCTTGTCTTTCTTACCTCCTTGTGCTGAGCTGAGCAGCAAGAGGACAGCAATAACAATAAGCAGCTTTCTCTTCGGATATTCAACCATCTTCCTGTTAGTCCACTATAAGTATGAAGATTGTCCAGGGAAAAACAGCCGTGGTGGGTTGCTCGGTCAGCTTGGCTCTGTTAATGATCAACCAGCCTGTGCTGTTTTGGGAAAAAAGGGTAGAGGCAATCACCTCTGCTTTTGTTTGACCATTAGCCAAAGTCTTTGTCAGAAGAGGGCTTCACTGACTTTTTGGTTTAAAAAGATGCTGACACCCCTTTACTCCCTACTTCTCACTTCAGAAATCAGATAGGGAAACCAGTTGCAGCAAGAGACAGAGTTATAGTACTTGATCCTTGCCACCTAGACCTATTTGCTTAATTCTGACTGAGGACACTGATTTGTCACAAGGCTTCCCAGTAAGTCCATGCCAGGAAGATTCATACCATTCTTGGATTGCTTTCTCTTTCCTCTCTTTCTGCTTTTGATCAGATTCCCATAACTGCCAAAGAAGGCAAAGCAACAGGTTGCTTCTGGAATTGAGGGGAAAAGCAAAAATGTAGCGACCATACTGTGGCCATATTGCTGTGATATGCTCCAACTGTACATTTCTTAGGGTGGGGACACTCTTCCTCTGGAGACTGCATTTCAGATACTACAGGAAATAAAAGCATGAAACAGTATCATAAGCATGCAAATAGTTCAAACGGGTCTTTGAATAAAAAAACTTTATTGCTTCAGTGTAAATAGATGGAGTAACATAAGCACACAACCAAGCGTTTAACTAGGAGACTGTCACACTACATTCATGTCCCTGGGTGCATTAGACTTTCAGGTAAGGCTGCACCTGTTTCTGAAGTTGCATTGATGCATGTTGGTCCTTCTTGCAGAGGAACAAAGCAACTTTGCCTTTGACTGTGTTAAATGGCAAGAAGTGTAAGCTGCAAAGGAGCTTTCCCTGTCCAGGCACTATTCTGCAGCTGCTTTATTTGAACAACAAAATGCAGAAATTGCCTCAGTCTGATCAGAAAGATGACTAAATACCTTTCCAAAAGCATGAGACATTATTTTCCTTTACAGTTATTGGCAATGGCAATCATTTCCTTACCCGTTTGCTCCAGCCAAAGGCTTTGGGGCTGTTTTAGTCAAAAGATCTTTTTCATTTCCAAGTCACTCCTGAGAGAAATTTCACTAGTTCTTACAGGGAAGTTAGACAGTATCAGCTGGCTTGCCTGGGGGGCTACTGAGGACCTGCCCCATTCACATATACAGATACATTCTGATCCTGAAATACTTGGCTCCGTGAGCAAGCTGGCTGATTGTCAGGGAAGTAGGTTCTTAGTGTCTCTTCAAATATGTGACTGAGTTTGTCAATGCCATTGATTTTCCAAGATTGAAAGCCGCAATACAAATAGGCAACTCCTGGCTTCCAGCCCACTTTTCATCTTTCCAACCTTAGCATTGATTCACAGATTGTAAGACAAAAGCCTGTAGACTGCAAGGGGCCCACTTCTTCTTCATTACACTCACAAATTCCACTGATCTGGATAATCTCTCAATCAAGAAAGAAGGAAATAAACTTGTGAAATCATACCATTAGGCCGTGACATTTCCGTACAAGCCTCCAGAGCAACTGTGAAAATGACAAATTTGTTAGATTTAAACAAAGTGGAGCACCTAAAGAAAATTAGCGAACGCTTCTTTCCATTTTTTATTTCAGATTATGGTAATAACTCTTTGTAACAGGATGCAACTGTTACTGTTACTCTTTGCCAAGTTCTACAGAAATTTTGAAATGCCGTGTAATATAAGGCAGGCAGTAGTATTACAGCCTTACCTTAAGAGTAAAACAACCCTGTGGCCAAGATGTGCAGATTTGATTTAGTTTTGCACTGCTCTGTGTATTTGTTAAACAACATCCTGGTATGCTAAAAAAACCCCAATGTCTTCAGGAAATTGAAAATTCTGTTTCCTGAGCATTCTTTTTTCTGTAGTCTCAGATTTAGTAATTCCAGGAAATCTTTGATTATATCAGCACACCGTGGTGGTCCCTCATGCGAACAGCGAAAGCCACTCAGTTCCTCTATGCTTAAAATGCTTTTACCAGTAAAACTATTTTAGTATGAAAGATTTTCCTTTTTTTTTTTTTTTGTGTGTGAACTTAATTACTCAGTAATTAAGTTACATTAGTTCAGAAACTCAATGTTGCTGCTACTTATTTTATTTCCCAGTGGGAGTGATTATAATGGCAATAGGAACATTGTTGCAAATGCTTTCAGACCACATTGGATTCCTTTTAACAGTTCCTTTCAGCATAGGATCACGAAGCATAGGGTGATTTGCTTGAGAGTGAGTCAGGGATAATGAAAGTAAACAAACTCGATTTTATGCACAAATTCTTTTCATTATAAAAAATGAAAAAAAATCACACTGTCTGCACATTCAGGCAAATTCTGCAAGTGTCCAGCTCAGCTGAAAATGTCATCTCCCCATGCACAAAGCAACAGCTGGCAGAGGCTGCAAAAACCCAGTAGCCAAGTGGAAATGTGGTCACGGAAAATTGACTTAGACTGGAAAACTGTTCATTGATACCAGAAGCAGTGCAGTCAGGGTAGCAGTGCGGGACCTTGGGGGAAACCAAGTGTGAGTTAAGCAAATTATGACTATTTAAAAACACTCCCTGTGGTCTTTGCATTCGAGGGAGGGCATGAAATACACGCAGAGTTTAGCTCACTGTACATTAAGGCCTAGCTCCACCCTACTGCACGAATGCTTGGTTTCACCGCTCCTGTATTTTCTGCCTTTTGCCCACGGAATAGAAACCATGGCTTTATATTAAGCACCTAGGCTCCTATGTATTGTTCCCAGGATTGACAGAGGAACCAGTTCAGTTCTCACTGCAACAAAAAATGATTGAAATGCCTGACATTCAGAAGCATCCTAACTACAAGATAGTAGGAAGAAGACATTAAAGATTAACTTGGCAAACGAGGAAGGGAAAATGTGGGCAAGTCAGATTGGGTACTCGGTCGGGAAAGGAGGAAAAAGTCATTTTCTTAAGTCTTTCATGAGTACTTTATGGACCTACTACCTAGTATGACTGTATAAGCACGCACAAGAAGGAAGAATGCATCCTTGCCACATATCCCTGTCATTTTCCAAAAATAAAGGAGCCTAGGTGAGCCACCAGGATTATGTTTCTCTATCACTTTCTCTGCCCCACAAAGCCCTAATCATTCTCTACAACATGGAGCACCTCAGAAGGAAGAACTTAGGCCTGCTTGTGTGCAGGTGGGTGACCTTCTTGTGGTTCCATCCACCCTAAAATACTCTAAGTGAAAGTGTCAGTCCCTGCTTCAGATTTCTCTCTGCTAACCCTGAAGATTTCATAACCTATAGGAAAGTTGTAGTATGCAAGGTGAGAGGTGGCATCCTCCCAGCAGCAAGGTTCAATCTGAGGTCTCTGACATCTGGGGAGGACATTTACTTCACAAGAGTCAGCAGCAGAGAACAGCTGCTCCTGCCACCAGGATATGGAGGGAAGATGGCCATGTTGCATTTCTGATGTAAACAGTGTGACCTGGAGGCTTTACAGGGCAGGGAGTTTCCTTTGACACTCGACAGAGATTGAGAACTGAGGTGGAAAGGGAAGAGAGGGATAAAAGGGCTCGTTGTGGGTTTTTTTCACTGAGCAAAAGGAATTTATGGGATGGGCCTGACTCCATTGGAAAGCCAGTTATGTGCCATGTTGTTCCAACATAGCTATGGAGGATGGATCAGTATTATTATTCTGCCATTGTAAGAACTGCATGAGACAGCATTGCTCAGCCCAAGGTGCAGTACCGTTCTATCTCATGCTGCAGCCTGCAGTGATGAGCTTAGGGAGCTTACAGCGACTCCTAGAAGGAAAGAAAAAAACACACTCAGCGTTGGAACACCTTCAGTGTTGATTTTGTAAGGTCCTCTGGCTACACTCTCCATGGCTATGAGTTCTATTTTTTTTTTTTTTTCCCTGAACAGCTACGTGCACTGTTGAGTGAAGAGCAGAACTGAGGTGGCCCCGAGTGGTGGTGCACAGCCTGACACAGCTGCTCGGCAGTCAGCGTGTGGACTGAGCGTGCTGGGAGAGAGCCAGCCAAGAGATAAACCTGCGTGCACTGTTGAGTGAAGAGCAGAACTGAGGTGGCCCCGAGTGGTGGTGCACAGCCTGACACAGCTGCTCGGCAGTCAGCGTGTGGGCTGAGCGTGCTGGGAGAGAGCCAGCCAAGAGATAAACCTGCGGTGAGAGCCTCCCCATCCAGCACTAGTGCCGTGCTGCTGCTCCCTGGGACAGTCAGCCAAGCTCCTGGCAACGGAGCATGCTTTGATGCTGTAAGGTCTGCAGCTGAATCTGCCAGCAGTGGATTCTTCTCAGCCAGGATAACGTACTGTGAGCAGGATGCAGGCGAAGGCAGCTGCAGTATCCACTTGCAGCAACTCTGCCGTGGGAGTATTTGGCAGAGTAGCAGCTTTTCAATAGCTGCCAGGTGTTTATGTTTCCCAAAATGTTGCGGTATTTTCCCTTTCTTCCTCAAAAACGCTGCAGTGTCACGATGTCAGTCATCCATGAAAGGGAATTTAATTTTTTTTAGTTTTGTGAATGGCCTTCTGAGCAGCTGGTGTCGAAGGAAACCCCTAGAAGTCGGAACAGGTTTCTGTTTTATTTTTTTCCATCACTCAGGCAGAAGGGTGACCCCCACAGAGGCCAGCCCAGCCTTGGCTGACGGGAGTGAGCCTATCCTCAAGCCCACCCCTCAAATGGAGCCACTGCCAGCTGTCCCCCAAAGAGAACAGTGGGCATTTTGGGGAGCATCGCTGTCAAACATTAGGCTCCGGGGACTAAAAGGTTTAGACGACCGTTATTTTCTGAGGCAGCACATTACCTGCTGAAAGGCGTCCTCCCCCTAACCCGTGGGGCTCCTGCTGCGCGTAAAACTGATCTCATTTCAACCTCTGTCGATTAGCAGAGCTGAAACTTCCCCGCTCTAGGGACAACACGACGTTTTCTACCGCCGGCTCTTGCTGGAGGGGGCGTCCCATGGGGGCCAGAAACCGACCCCCGCCGCGGCGCCGCCGCCGCCGCCACCCCCCGTCCCCCCAGCTCCTCTCTGGCAGCCGCACCCCACCGCGACACAGCGACGGCGGCCTCCGAGCCTGAAATCCCCCTCCTCTACCGCAAGCCCGGAGTTTCCAGAGAACCCCGATTACTCAGCACCCCGGTACCCGCCGGGGAGGGAGAGAAGGAAGGGGGGGGAAGGCGGGGAGACGACGCTAAGGGGCCGGGCGGGGGGTGGTGCCGCCGCCGCCTGAGGGCGTGGAGGGGCCGGGCGGGCGCTCCTCACCTTTCGGTTTCCCTTCAGTTGTTCGGGACGGGGCAGCGATGAGGCTGCCGGCTCGGCTCCTGCTCGCCGCGTCCCTCCTGCTGGGTAAGTCGTGAGGGGGGCGGCAGCGGTAGCGGTAGCGGGGCCCCTTCCCCAGACCCTCCGCCGGCGTCTCCCGCCTCCCTCCGCCGGCGCGCGGGAGCGGGGCGGACGGCGGCTGCGCGGGGCGCGCGCCTGAAGCGTCCCTCCTCAGGCGGCCGGGCGAGCTTGTGCCGCCCCGGGCTACGGAATGGCGGCGGTCGCCGTTCGGGCTTGGCAATAAGCCGCTCCCCTCGGCCACCGCCGCCGTCCCGGGCTGCCTGAGGGGAGCCGGGCGTGGCGCCTCCCAACCCGCCGAGCGCCCCGGGCGGTGACACCCCTGCGGCGTGCGGAAGGGAACGGGCTGGCGAGGGGAGAGGTAGAGTCGCCACCCCTGGAGGCGCTTAGAAGGCGGGTAAGGCGCGGTGGTGGCTTTGGCAGCGCTCGGTTAACGGTTGGACTCGGTGGTGCTAAAGGTCCCTTCCAACCCAGACGGTTCTGTGACCCTGTTTGTGTTCTGTCCTTCTCAACGGCAGAACCGAATGGCTGCCTCCCCCCGCGCCTGGCGTTAGAGTTTCCTACTATCGCTGATCCGTGTGTTTAGGCCAGAAACCCCGCCACACCCACCCTTCCCCTTCGTGGCACGGGTCACAATTCTTGTGCCCCGTTTGTGTCAAACTTCTGTGATGGTTGCCGTGGGAAACGGGTGTGATTTTTACTCTGATTTCCTGCCCACGGGAAGGTTCTCTGCCCAGCCGGGGGAGCGCTCCTCCCCACAAAGCATGTTTGACCCCGCTTCCTGAGGTGTTAAAGAGTTTAGGAAACTAGCTTTTGTTGTTAAAAAAAAAAATATATATATATATATCCTTGTCATCCCTGCATATGAAAATGCTGTTTATTTTGTATTCTGCGTTACTTCTTTCTCAGGGAAAATCATCAAAGTTCTCAATGGTTTTGTGGTGGTTTTTTGTTTGCCTTTTTTTTTTTTTTTAAATGGGTGGGTCTTTTTTGTAGAAGCAACTTATTAATATTTACTTCTGGTGAAATAGTAAACAAAGGCCTTAATCTAAATTCCATCTGTGTGCCTGAGGAGCAGAGCCCTCACGCCCATAGACCTTGCATAGGGCTATGAACATGAGAAGTACAAACAAAACTCGCTCATTTTTGAAATTAAAGGCAGATGCACAAACTTTCTCATTGTCATCAAAAGTAGCTGCTGTGGCTGGATGGGCCAAGCAGCACGGCTTGCTCTGTGTAGATCTTCTCATCCCTCTCGTCTAAGGGGTTTCTCAGTGGCTTTTTCTGTTGCTTTGGGAGTTTCCTGCATGTGCCTAAAATAGGACCTATTGCATCCCTTTTTAAAAAAAAAAAAAAAGAATGGTCTCCTCTTGCTTTTCCTGAAGGCTTTAAGAAGCTGGTTCTGCTACTGAGTGTTCGGACTAACTGACTGAGACTTTCTCCCGTACTATTCCAGAAGTCTTCAGCTTGTTTTGTTTAGTTAAGATTGCGAAATCCTGTTCTGCAGGTGTGTGCAGAGGACCAGTGGAGAAGCTGGCACTCTGTGTGACACACAGGACATACCTGTGTGAGTCAGTCTGCCCATGTTCAGCCTCAGATGCAACTTCTAGATCTCACCTGCAGTGCTTTTGCAGATGCTTCTAAATGACTATTAGTAATACGTGATAATTTAAATGTCCTCCTGTGACTTTTTGTGTGTGTGAAGGTGCTTTGTTACCTTACATTACATAAGTTGGCATGCCACTGCCACTCTGAGCATCTCAGTCCAGGTGCTGTAGACTTATCCAGAAAAATGAAATTTCATGTTCCAAGCAACATACGGTTGATAGGGAGAGGTGATGGTAATTGGGCAACTAGAGACGGCAGTTGTGGCAGCAAGTATCCTCATTTATACATGTATATATCCCCATAATATCCTTATTTAAAATTAACTACCTCTGTTATCTTTTCCTCTCTATAAAACTGATCCTGCAGTGGTCGATTAGGATAGGAGATCAGGAAAACAAACTCTTTACTGTTGTTCACTAAACTAAATCAGCAAGATTTCACGCCCTCTTTTTTTTGTTTGCTTGCATTATTGCTATAGTGTCTGATGTTGCCGATGTGTAAATGTTTATATGTTAATTTTGTCAAGGTAAAATAAACTGTCGTCTGCCTATGAGAAAATCAAGACTCTGAAAGTCAGACTTATTTGCCGAAGTGCAGAAAGTAGGCATGCAAATTTCTAGCCTTGAGAACACCTGTTGTAAACACTGGGATGCTGTTGGTAGGTCCTCATCCTCTGTCAGCCTTCCCCTCCTGAATCCTTGCCTTCCCAGCCTCCCCACTTCTCCATCCAAATTCAAAGCACTGCACCTATCACAGTCTCATGTCACTGAATGTCTGGAGATGGAGGGGAGGTGGGGAAGAAGCACATAGCATAATCCCTTCTCGAGCCGTGCTTCTTCATTCTCCTGTGGGAACCTGTGACACACAGAAGCTGAGGTGTAGCTTTGGCTTCTTCAGAATTTGTACTCGCCACGTAAGGATTACTTGTTTTCATGACACTCTGCCAGATCAGTTCTCCCTGTAATAAAACCCCAGACCTTTGCACCTTCCCTCTACAAGGTGAATAAATTGTTGCCTACCACACCAGCAGGAGGATGGCAGTGCCAGCCACACCGGTGGGGACATTCTGCTGCACTGCAGATGGCAGCCAAACTTCTAGTGATTTTAGGACTTCACCCCAAAGCAGAGGGTTGGTAAGGGTTGTGGGAGGGAAGCCAGATGAGTGAACTAGAGCATCTAGAAGCATTCCTGTCTGTAGTGAGACTCATCTGAAAGCCAGGGAACTCTTTCAGTGTTCTGAACATCAACTCATTTTCTAGCAGTATTACTGCCTTTTAGTTCTTGCATATTTTGCTGAGCTCCTTAATGCTTCATTTCCAAATTCAACTTCTTTTTATAAAAATTGACGTTTTTATAAACTGAGGGAAGAAAACCTGGCTCACTTAAGAGCAGAAGTTACCATATACAATATGGAGCATGGGCTGTCAGCATATGGGCTGACAGAAAGGTATTTATTAGCAACTCTCATCTTTTCTTACTGACTTTTTCTCAGAAGTGATCAGCACTGAAACCAAACTCACCTTAATGTGGCTTTTTGTTTATTTCCCATTAGACAGTTTGACAAGTTTGGGCTGGCTTTTTGTTTTTAACATTTCCTTCCTTTCTTTCTCTACACACAGAAATATATGCTGCTTTCTAAGTTTTCTGTTGACTATAAAAATACCAGGATTGCTCAAGTGTTTTTTCCTGTGTCTTTCTACTCCATGAGACATGTCATGGGCACTACATCACAAGGTATTCAGATGAAATGGGTATTCAGATGAATAGCCAGACTCCTAACAAATTCAGGTTGCTTGTAGAATGTGGGTACTTTGGTAGGTTGCTAACAGAAATGTTAAACACAGTTTTAAATAGTATGAGTGGAAAAATCAGTCATCAGCTGTATGAAGCTGACACCTGATTGTGTTGTGTTGTTATCTTACTCTTGAATCTTCCTGAATAAACAGAGGAAGTTCTGAATTTCCCACAAAGGGGAAAAACAAAATCCTCCACCCCCCTGCTTAAGAGTTCTTGATAAACCCTTGCCTCCAGAGCTCTGGCTGTTACATCATACTGAAAACAAAAAGAAAAAAAATATTTTTTGGCATTGATATTTAACACTACAGGATGACCACAGAGTGAAAAATGTTACTGGTAGTTTCTTGGATTGATGTGATTAACGGTCATAGTTCTTAGAAAGCCAGGGTCATTCTCTGGCTTCCATGCACAGACTTCTTTGCTCTTGAGAGTTGACTGTGGTTAAAGGCTTTTGCCAAAAAAATAAAGATTTGATCATGTATATTGATTTGTCTTTTTTTTTAAATGGTCCTCCTCTGAGTTTACAGTTTCATGAGACCATATTGACCATGTTCAGGGTGGTGTGACTGATACAGGGTTTGAAAGAGACGTGTTGTAGTTTGCAGTACATTTAAGCTGGTGTTGCCACAGGACAAGAACCGTTCCTCTCTGTGGCATCCATTTGTGCCATTCTTTACAAACAGAACAGCAGAGATGATGTCGCTGAAAATGAACTTGGTTGAAGGAAAAAAGTTATTGAGATAGATTATTTTCTCAGTCTTATTGATCATATAGCAACATAAAACCTGGGCTGATACAGCATAGAAGTGCTATCTGGATGTTGTGAGTAGGTAGCCAGAGGATTTAAACGGCTTTTTTTTTTTTTTTTTTTTAATTAAATGCAAGTAGGCTCTGTCCCTAAACAAAGCCCAGAGATCAAAAATAGTATCCTACAGGACACAGTGATGCTCTTTAATAGTTCACTCTTGCCAAAATGGGTATTCCCAGTTCTCCCCCTCCCTTTCTTGCTTCACGCTGCCATGCGTTGGCCTGGGCATTCACTGAATTTAGGTCATTGCGTTAATGGCAACGTAATTTGTCAAAAAACCCTATAAAGTTAATGAACAGTGTTTTCTCAGTCTAGGAACCAGGACCCTGAGACTGCAAAAAGAGGGGCAGAAGCAGGTGGAGGGGAGGGAGAGTGGGATGGCCACACACATGCACACATGCGTGGGCTCAGGTGTTGGCTTAGTTACCCTGAGCTAATCAATTGTCCAAGGCAGAGGGCACAAGATTTTTAGAATAGGAGTTCTCACATTGCAGCTTGCTCCTATGTGTGGCCTGAAGAAGGGCCTTGTTGGTTATGTTCTTCACAGGAGAACTAGCTGAAACTAGGTTGCTTCAAAGTACAGGCAGCAATAGTTTATTATATAAACCCATCTGAAACTGGAATTAAGTGATTAGGTTAGTCTAAGTTTGTATATGCAGAGGATGTCATGCTATAACTACAGAACATACAAGCATGATTTTATGTGCTCTCTTCCCACCCTTGCCCCATGTAGTGCCTCTCACAGGAAAAGAAGATTTGGAAACCGTGGTCCTGCACTGACCCCTCCTCTGAATGGTGAATTCCCTGAAGTGCTGCTCTGTTAGTGGACTTAGACTTCCACAGAATAGATG